TAACTACAAAAACCTAAATAGATTAGAAATATTAAGGATATTTTGGAAAACTGACCAAATTCTTATAAAAAAAAAAAAAAAAAAAAAAAAAAAAATGTATTTTCTAAAAAGTTCTTCTTATATGGTTATATTATAAACCCGTCTGATATAATAATATATACATACATTTTTATATGGCTTTCTTCAAGAATGTTGTATGCCAAATTTTAGAAATTTTAGAAAACAAATTTGATAAAAAATCAATCGCTGCAAGAGTATAAAACTCAATATTTGAATACTTTCTGGAACTCTACAGTTTACTGTCGCTGTCACTGTCGTTGTCAAGTAGTCGGTGATAAATTTAGCAACTCTTAACTAACCCCAACTCTTTAGAGGAGCTCCCATTCACACAATTGCACTCTGAGCTAAGAACACGGCCAGCTCAACGTATCTCTCATACTATATAGATTCTCTAAATAAATCAATATATGTATGTCAACTCCTATTGTAGTCCTTAAGACCAGCTGCGTCTGGCATTTGGTATATACCTGTGTAGTAGTTGGTGCCTAAAAAAAACTATGGAAGCTACCCAGCCACAATCAAAAGAAACCAAACCCCAGTCCCAAACCTCCAATGCCCATATGACCTTACCCCATCTTCCAAACGTTTTGTGTGTTTGGCGTTAATAAACCGCAACTGTGTCACTAAACCAAACTGTAAAGAGTTGAATTCCTAACAGTAAATAATATAATCGTTTCTTGAGTCGAATTAATCGTTTCACTCTACATTAACCCATCAGACTATGGAATACCAGAGCCATCAACCACTGAACAGCCCGACAATATACGCAGTCAAATAATCGTATCGATATCGAAGCCACAAATCACGATAATGCCCGTCGGTGGTTCGATCTCGCTGCACTGCAACGGTCGCATGAAGTGGAATAATGTAAGTGATTGATTGAGAAGTGCTGGGAAATATCATTCGATTCCATTCCATTCTACCCCCTTTAGAATCCTGTCGTCGTCAGCTGGTACAAGCAGAACAGCCAATTGCCCAACACAGCCGAGATCTCCGGCGGAGTTCTGCGACTCTATAATATGCAAGTGACCGACTCTGGCGTCTACATCTGCCGTGCTGTCAACAACCAGACCTCTCGCGCCTACGAGGACATGGTCTCCATAACCATAACACGTAAGTCTCTTGCAGTCTATTGCTTTTCTCAAGTCGCGATAAACAATCTAAAAAGTTAACTAATTTGACATGCGGCATTTTTGTAAAGGATATGCCAAAGAAATGCTGGCACGCTATGGTAGCTATTGAGGATTCAATTGATTTCCTTTTCTTAATATCATCCATGCTAATATTCTCCCTCCTCTCGTTCTTGTTCTCCCTCTCGCAGCGCATTCCCAACGCTCTCGCGCTCAGATTGTCAATCTACCGCAGACGGTGACCTTCAATGAATACGTTCCCAACGAGATCAACTGCGAGGTGGAGGGCAATCCTGCACCCGTAGTCATCTGGACCCGCATCGATGGCCAAGCGGACGGAAACACGCGCACAGATGGCTCACGCTTGATATTCGAGTCGCCACGTAAATCGGACGAGGGACGCTATCGCTGCCAGGCGCGTAACGATCTGAATGTCGATGAGAAATATGTGCAGGTCTATGTCGTGGGCAATGCGCCGCAGCCACAGCCCCCAGCACGGGAGCGGCTCTACATTCAGCCGGAGAACTACAACGGCGAGTCTGGCGACATAATTCGCTTCGTTTGCCAATCGACCAGCGGCGCCCAGCTGCACTATGAGTGGCTGCACGATGGCTATCCACTGAATGTCCCGCAGTCGTCGCACGTTATCATTAGCGGAGATACGCTAGAGATTCGAGATGCTACCACCCGGGATAATGGAGTCTACACGTGCGTTGGCATCGATTTGAGGACGCATCGCAACTATACCGAAGATGCGCGCGTCTATATCGAAGAGCGACAAGAGCCTCCCATCGGCAATGGGTGAGTTAAGGCACAACGAAAGCTTCAGATTTAGTATATATCTGCCGAGCTGTATTAATATGCTTCTTGCCATCATGTTGGAATTTCGAAATATTTTAATTTCATATTATGATTAAAAGAGCCCTTATCGTATCTAACTTGATCCGTGCTTTGGTCTTAAGACGTTTATTCTTGATCAATTGAAAATTGGGAAAACTTTGAATGTGTATAGAAGGACCTACATATTTTAAACGGATATCCATACGGACATCCAAACGGATATCCATACGGACATCCAAACGGATATCCATACGGACATCCAAACGGATATCCATACGGACATCCAAACGGATATCCATACGGACATCCAAACGGATATCCATACGGACATCCAAACGGATATCCATACGGACATCCAAACGGATATCCATACGGACATCCAAACGGATATCCATTCGGACATCCAAACGGATATCCATTCGGACATCCAAACGGATATCCATTCGGACATCCAAACGGATATCCATACGGACTTCCAAACGGATATCCATACGGACATCCAAACGGATATCCATACGGACATCCATACGGACATATATAAAGAGAGAAAAACGGACGGGCAAACAGTTAATTCTAATGCCACTGCTAGATATTAAATATTACTCTCGATTAAAAAAAGAGCTGGGGCTAAGGCAATTCTTTCTGATTCGGATTTTTCGCACTTTTTCGTCCTAAAATTTCATAAAATGATTACAAAACATGTATTCTTTGTTCTCGTGCAGCGTTGTTCCCCGTATTGTACGACTTAAGGAGGAGTACGTCATATATCAGGGAAGTGACTTGAGCATTACTTGCGAATCGACCGGCTCTCCCTACCCTAGCATTAAATGGATGAAGGTGCGCGACTCAATGCCCTCGAATGTCCAAATCACGGGCAATGTTCTGCGCATTCACAATGCTATGATCGAGAATCGTGGCTGGTATGTGTGCACGGCCGAGAATGCCCTTGGTACAGATCAATCAAACACTCATATCGATGTTGAACGTAAGTCCCAATCTAGTTTATACGAACTACATAATCTATATGATTCTATTATTACATAATTATGTATTGCCCAGCGAATTGCTATTGGCCCCCGACAGCAACATCATCTTGTTTAGCTATAGAGCATGTGCAAATATGAATTTAGCCAATTTCAAGTACTACAAAGCTCAAATGCTGGTGCTATTAAAAGCTAAGCTTAAAATCTCAACTTGAGGCTAAAGCTGAATAAACCGATAATTCGACAAAGCTTTTATTCCATTGCAAGCTTCTTTTTAAATAAATGTGGGCTCAGCTCAGCTGAAAAATCGATTAAGCTAAAGCTTCATGTTCAACCAAGAGCTAAAGCATTATTCGTATTGAAGCTTTAATAAAACTTAATATTTTTTTTACGTCATATGCTTAAAAATATTTAAGGAATCTTTCACATACTCAAAAGTTTATTCATTCAGTTGATAGCTCGAATGGCTTGAGCAAAGTTTAGATTAAGCAATCAAGACTTTGATACTCTAAGAAGCTTTGTTGATATTTTCTGTGTGTTCAGATAAATCTGGCATATTCAATAGAAGCGCAGCAGCTATAGACTAAACCAGATGATGTAGTCCCACAAATACTAGGAACGCCGAGTGTATAACAACTCTCTTTGCTCTGTTTCTTCCTTCCCATTTGCTTGCCACAATCAATTTTGACAATGTTGGTAAATTAATTGAACTGAAAACAATTTTGCTATGTATATTGATAATCTTAATACTTAATAATATATAATTTATAAATGCAAGTGCACAAGAGTGGAGTCGGTAATAAGACAGGTCCGCACAGTCTGATCCTAATACTAATCTGTACAACCACCATAATTTACTTGATTGCAGCTCGGGAGCGACCGAGCGTTGAGATAGAGCCAATAAGGACGCTCACCGTCGGCGAACAGGGAGTACTTTATTGTCGCGCCCATGGCATACCCGAGCCGACGGTGCAGTGGCGCCGCGTCGACGATATACCACTCTCGTCCCGACACCTCGAGCAGCACCCGGGCTACGTACTGTAAGTATCACTGTACTTATTATCCAATATGGACTCGATGATAATCGCCCGATTTCCCTTGTAGCATCAATGATGTACAGTTAGCGGATAGCGGTGACTACGAGTGCTCGGCCGTGAACAGCGTTGGACGCACCACAGGCGTTGTGACGATACGCGTAATAGAGCCACCGGTGATCGAATTGGAGCCGAACGAATCTCTCATACAGTACACCGAGGGCGACGAGGTGCGCATTACGTGCATTGCGAGCGGCACACCGAACCCGACCGTGCAATGGGACGACCAGCCGGTTGTTTATGCGCTGGATAATCGCCAGGTTGGCTCGAACACCGCCTACTTGAATATCAATCGGGTGACACAGGCGGATGCCAAGGTCTACGTCTGCAAGGCCACGAATGAGGCGGGCAGCGATGAGCGTGCCGTACGCATCGATGTGAAGCCCAAGCGGGGTGACATCGGTGATCGTAAGTAGCTCAGCGAACACGCTGTTCAACACTTTACAACACTACACCTCTCTCTCTCTCTCTCTCTCTCTCACTCACTCTCTTATAGGCGATGGCGATGTGGAACGCGATCCCTATCTGCCGCAATACTATCCACCCCAGCGTCCCAGCTCGGACACTCAGCGTCTCACCACGCACCTGGGCGCTAATGTGTCCCTCACCTGCAACCTGGATCCCTATCTGAACACCCAATGGACGCGCGTTGATGGACAGCCGCTGCTGCCAAATGCTCGCTCCGAGCACAATAAACTGACGATCACATTCGTTGAGGAGCACAATCTCGGCCAATATCGCTGCAATGCCATGGATCATCGGGGCACCATTGTTACGTATCTCGTGCGCGAATTGGTGCGGTCGCCACTGCCACAGATCACTTTCCGTCCCAATATCCCGCTCGAGGTGGAGGCCGATCGCAATGTCGAGATCTACTGCGATGTGATAGGCGCCCGGCCCGAGGACGTGAAATGGACCACCGAAAATAACCGACCACTGCCTAGGTGAGTCTGAAACTATTTTCCTTTTTAGCGGGGATTATTATTTTGTTTATCATACGAGAATAACACAAATTCTCAGTATTATCTGTATGAGCTTACTTCCTTTATTTCCAAATCGATAACTATCGATATCAGTTTGTTTTTAAATGAATGAGATGTATATCTGGCGAATGATATATTGTAGCATCCGAATCAGCATCCTAAAAGTATGCACTCTAAACAGAGAATTTCTCAAAGAGCAGATATGCATAATTTTGCTACATGGAGTATAGTAGATTCTCTTAAGATGTAATTTGAATAAATAAAGCAAATATAAAATTTATTTAATGATCGAAATATCAAAAGGTAATACGAGTTCCAATTTAAGAGTCACATATAGGTAGGTAACTAGATTAGAATTCTAACTATCCAGATAGATGAAAAACTAAACATATAATAACAGTATATCAGGAGATTCGTATACAATTAAATTACAGTTTGAGGGCCATATATTGAAGGTAGGCACTTAAAGAACCACAGGAATAGAAATATAAGCATGCATGCAATGTATGATCGAAGGGGTTAGTAGATTCAAGCTACAATTTGAGAGGTACACTGTCTACACTTCTTAGAGTCTGAAGAAATTAGTTCAAGAATCTTGCACATTACAGTTTGAGAGTCACCACAAAATAAAATAAAAAGAAAATAGTCAAGAATGCAAACAATATGATTCTTCTCTGCTAGCTGTAAAGCAGCAATCGTTAATCGAAAATCGATAATAATATGTTCTTCTCTCCCCAACACCATCTGTTTCTCTCGCTTTCTCTCCATCTCTCTTTCTATCCATCTCCCTCTCGCTACACAGCTCCGTGCACATCGAGGGACAGCTTTTGCGCTTCATAGCCATAACACCGGCTGATGCGGGCGGCTACAGCTGCACGGCGTCGAACGAATACGGAAACATCAGCAAGATCGCCCAGGTGGTTGTGCGTCCGCCGGCCACCTACACGCAGCAACCGATATCGATGCAGCAGCAGCGCCGCGAGGGCGAGAGCATCCAGATGCGCTGCACTGTGACGACGCAACGTGGCGAGCAGCGCTCCAATACGCAGGTGAGAATACTTAAGAGCAATCCGTTTATCGAGCATCGATGACAATTCGAGTATTGTTCGCCTGGCACAGTTCCACTGGACTCGCGAGGACCGACAGCCGCTGCCCAACAATGCTCGCGCCGACAGCCAGATCCTGATATTGACATCGTTGCGCCTGGAGGATGCCGGTCGCTACATCTGCGACTCGTACGACATCAACACCGGACAGCGCTTACCGCCCACCTACGTCGATTTGAGTGTACAGCGTGAGTAAACCCTAGAACGTCTCCCTTAAAAAGAAAAACCACACTGAACATCCTACCAAACCAACAAAACAAACAAAAATTAAAAAAAAAAAAAAAGAAGAAGATTTATAAAGTAATGAAAAAAATCCCTCTACACACAAACCCCAAACACAACAGATATCTCTCTATGATCTACCCCTATCTCTCTCACACATACACACACAAACACTCGATTCTTAGGCCAGAGAACTTCGATTGCAAAATGATACCAAAAACAAGAAATATATATACCAAAAATACCACAAAAACTTAATTATTATTAAACCTTAAAAGAAATCGAAGGAAAGTAAAAACGAAAAGGATTAGGCTTTGTTGGCAATATGAGAAAATATATATTGAATCAAACTAAAGAAAGATATAAGTGTTAAATAATTCCAATATAAACCGAAGAGCAGATTGAATGAATGATTGAAACCGCTCGCTCGCTGATTTTACTTTGTTCTTATCAAAACCTATATGTATCTATATTCAATGTCCATATGTATATGTGTATCCATATGTGTATGTATAGCTCTAGCTGCTATTACTACTTTGACTAAACACATACACACATAMACACACACACATACATACACAAGCACACACACGTATATATACATATATATAAGTATGTATATATTTTCTGTAAAACTGATCAATGTTCGGTAAAACAAAAACAAAAAACACATGTAAATATGCGAGCCCCTAACTTATCAAGTATCTTACCTACAAATGTAATCATACACACAAACTCACACAAACACACCTACAGGTAATAAACAGTTATAACGGATACGGATTTGTTGGTTCTAGGGTATTACACACTCTGTATATATGACAATAAGCCACTAACAATTGTAACATACACACACACATACATATATAAGTGCAACAAAATACCAATATGATATATATAGATATATCATATATAACATTTATATGATATATGTATAGGTACTGAATAATTTTGCAAWACTGGTGAAGGTGTTTACACTTACTTTGAACTGCCACACATATGACTTTCCAAATACCAAAAAATACCACTAAAATACTATATAGTATGACAATTGTTAAGCAATTTCATAAATGTATATACAGCTGAAGGCGCATGCCCACACGACAATAGCAAATACGAACCTACGAAACGATCCAAAACTGCCTCGAAAATGAACAACAACACCCACTGAACCAAAAAACCACTCACACACACAACCACTCACACACACAACCACTCACATACACCCACCACGCAGAACAAGAAGAAGAAATCTTGAGTAAAAATGCCACGCCCCCACACAGCCAACAATTCTTTATGAAATTCGTTTTTTCGATACACTTGAAATTTATTAATCTTAAGTTGCAAAAAATGCTAAAAAAAAAAATTTTTTAAAAATTAAAAAAAAAATACTTTTCAATTCACACTTAAAACACAAAATTTAATAACCAAATGAAATTCTATATTTACTATAATACTTAATGAATATGTTTTTTTTTTTTGTTTTGTTTTTGTAATTATTTTACATTTACACAAGCACATTACGTAAACATAATTATTTTTAAACAATAAAATTGTAAGCTTAACAGTGGCTGCCATAAATCTAATACCAAAATACGTTTTAAGTCCCAGCTGTGGTTTTTTTTTTTTTTTTTTCTCTAAGTCCCGACAAATAAAATAACAAATAATTAACCTACATTAATTGTCTAAAAGCA